ATCTATCTATCTATCTATCTATCTATCTATCTATCTATCTATCTATCTATGAAAATGCTTTCCCCCCACAGGTTCATTTACATTCAAATCAAACTCATTTTCATATGGTAGGCCTAGGTGTTACACCAGCTCGCTTAAAACCAGAGGTAACTCGAAAATGGCCCATTTCGACGTCTTAAGGTCTTAAGCCTCACCACACGCAGAGAAAGGTTAAATATGTCCAAAAGAGCACGATACCAGTCAGCTGTAAACAACAGCTATACAACCCTTAAAACTTGAGGCAGCAATCGTAGACACATATACACTTAATGTACCTGTTTTTCTCACTAGAACACGCCAAGAATTCAATTCAGATTTGAACCGCTCTGTCAGACCTCGAAACTATCGTCCGGCTAGAAAATCTGGCGTCGTTCATCTGGAAACAATCGACGAAGACTTCACTGTTCCCGGGAGAAGGCTTAGAGCCACGGTTCCCTCTTCCGCATCATTCCGCGAAGTCAGCAGTGGTCTGGGAGCGGCTAACCGTGCCATGGAACAGCTATCAAGAGTGGGTCAACAACAGCCCCAGTCCAGACAGGCGAAGAGACTCCGCGGTAACTTGGAACCCACTCACGACCAATTGGTCTTTGACGACTTGCTCGAAAATATCGTAAGTACTTAAAAACGTGAACTTAAAGTAAATTTGTTGTGATTAAAGCAATAACTTACTGATCGGCTGGAGCGAGGGTGGCTGCCTCGATGAATTTAAAACGTTGTGAACTAGTTACCATAAGTCTTTGTTCGGACAACAAAGAATGGTTTCAAATGGTTTTACTGCTACGGCGAATTGTTGACGACGGCCGCGGCCATTGCACGCGCATCTACTAAATGCCTTTGTTGTACTATAAAACAAATTACTTCATTACTGTTCCATAGGAAAACCAGTTAATTTTGTTTCTCTGACATCTGAACGTTTTTCTTGGCTCTGCCTTGAAAAGCATTTAGATTATTGGAGAAAATATAGTCTTCCTTGGCACCACTCATTAAAAGCTAAATGTTAAACGTCAAAATATCTAGAATTTTAGATATTTGAACTTGTCGCCAGCCGGGCCTAACATATCAAGAATCAGGTTTCCAGATACGTTTTAAAGGCAATTTGTCAATAAAAAATGTTCATAAGATATGAGTTTTGCTATATCATCAGACGTTTAATTTTAATATGCCGGGTCATGCTGGTATTTGACGTCAGACTCCTTTCTAATTGAAATTCTCTTCATGATCAATCATGTCTTCATGAAATTCTCTTTGTGAAAAGAATATTTTTATAGACGATGTAAATTAAAATAACTCTCTTTGCTGTCCTGATGCTTACCCGTTTCCTCCTATTTTACTAATGTAGAAGTCTTGGGAAGACTTGAGATCTGCCAGTGATAGCTAACTATTATACCTCAAGTAAGTTATACTGATGAACTCTGCTGTGAACGCTAATGTGTTTAACACCTAAGCAAAATCCTTTTAATCCTATTATTAAACATTAGTTTTTACTTCTTAATCATGCTAAAAGTAAATCCTGTTCAACTCACCTTGCAGTTCAGATATATACTAAAAAGTAAACCTTCCTTTATATCTGAGTATCTAACTCAAATGTTTAACCTGTAAACCTCAACCGTTGACTCATTTAAAAAACGTGAAGAGATCGTGAAAGTCGATACTATTTAACTAGGCTCGAAACGCAGTGATTTCAATATCAATTTAACTATTAAATACAGTGAAAGCGTGCTAATTTGTTCACACAACTCAGCCTTCAACTTTTCTGGTAGTCTCCGATGGCGGCTCTCATGTGGCCCAAACACGGCTGAATTACCATCATACCTCTTTGGGTCTTAGCGTGTCTTCTCACTTACCCTCCTAAGATATCGATGCGCACGCATATAAGCAGGAGCCTCGCATGTCTCTCCCCAGTCCCACTCTAAATTCCCCCTCTCGTACCAGATCGTTTTTGGAACGCCGCGACAATCGCTTCAAATGACGCAGTGAAATAATGAATTTTCTTGGAGTTATTATTCTCTGCGATTTTTATAACATAATTTGTCATTCCTTTTCAGGAATCGCGGGCTGACTATAGGGCTGGTACCGATAGGTCTGCCAAGAATAATAACTTGTACGACGAGCGTTAAGCATTTTGAGTTATCCAAATGTTTGTCATTTAACGGCTATATGTACTGTTACTGTAAGTATCTTGTTAGTTAATCTAGGCTATGGACACATCAAGAATAACAACCTTATTGAATTTTCATAGAAAAAGTACCGTAATTAATATTTAGTACAAATGTAGCTCTAAGTGGGTAGCGACAAATTATTGCTGAATTCGCATATTTACGTGCTTTCATAACATGTCATTTCATGTGTTACTTCGCGAGAAGCTCAATTTATGACAAATAGAAATAATAATTATGTGAATAGTGCAAGAAAAGCTATTTTTGTAATGTTGATAAACATAACTCTCTGGAAGAGTTTCGAGTGTTTAAAGCTCCAAAGATAGAGACAATTGCTTCATCAGTTTAACTTTGATAAGAGTTACGAAATGTGCGTTATTTTTTAGGTAGAAATATCTTGATTTAGCAAATTTGACACGTGTATTGGTAGAATAGTTAGCAATGCGACAGATATTGGAGTTCTGTTGTGGATTTTTCACAGAAACAAATTGTATTTTTGTAACTTAATTGCGTTTCATGGCGGCATTGTTGGCTGAACACGATAAAAATGTAACACATTTTGCGATTAAAATCTAGTTTGCATTCAGTTTTTGAGAGTTGAGTTCTCTTCTAAACGCTATGATCAAGGGTATTTGTAAACTGTTATCGATTGTATCCCTTCAATAGCAGTCTTTATTATATCTCTCAGTCAGTACGCGCGCTGTGACTGGTCAATTTAGCGGGCCGTATTCTCCTGTACGGCCCGCTAAAATTTAAAGTTGGTTTTGTTGTCAAACTGTTTCGTGATTTATCGCCAAGTGTTCTTGACTTTTATAGCAAGTGAAAGTTTAAAACTTTCCTATACTCTAAATTGTGTAATAAAGGGTGCTAACGACTTAAAAACAATTTCAAACTGACTCGTTTTGCATTCGAGGTGCGCGGGCGTCAGAAATTTGGAACCTTTCTGAGTCCGCGTGACTAGAAATCGTTTCCAAACCCATCAGGCACACAGTAGAGATATAATAAATATCTTACTAACCTCGTCTTCTCGGTCCGTACTGTAAGTTACGGATCCTCGTTTTTTCCCCTTCGATTTATGGCCCGCGCGCTTCGCGCTCGGGCCATAAATCGAAGGGGAAAAATCTCGGTCCGTAACTTACAGTATGGACCTCGAACTCGGTTAGTAAGAGGTATTTAACTTCTTAAAGGAGCTCAGTCAGGGTGTTTCGGCCACGTACAAAATTACCTTTAAATTGAAGGAAACCTGAAAATAAAAGTTCACTAAGATAGAGAAACACCAAAACAATAATAATAAACCATAAAGGAACAAGGACGGTTAAGGATGGTGAAGATTAAAACGGATTACAAACAACGAACTTGAAAAATTTAGGCTAAATTTTTCAAGATGTGCAAACCGTGACGTATCTCCTTTAAGAAATTCGGCATATTGGCACGCGGTTGACCAAGATTTGCTTTTTAAGACTTAAAGGTCTTATCTTCCGTGTCGTAACGGTCTGCAATTTTGCAACATGGCCCAACATTAACAGTGTTGGAAGATGTTAACTGAAGATGTTGCTATCATTTGACAAGGAAAGTGGTTTCTGAAAACATCCTTTTAGGCACTTTACCATACCATCGTCTAAGGCTTACGATACCACATTTTCTTGTAGGTGAGCGTTTGGACATGTAGGAAGTAACTTACGACACACATAGCTAAAATAAACCTTTATTTGCACTGCCAGTTCTGGAGGACAAGACGTCATTTACAAAAGTTTCCACTTGAAACCGCTTTCTTGGGTATCGAATTGCCCGCAGTATACACTAGCACTCGATAAAAAATTCTTCCTCCTTTGTATTATTCTTTATCATTCGGGAGATCAAAGCGTCCTTATATCACTTTGTCTCAACCGTTGGCCTGACTTGTCAGTTTATAAGAACAGTTGTTCAGCTCACTTCTTGCCCATACAACACGCTGGTGCACATGACGGTGCACAAATTGGCATAGGGGGAGGGGGTGGTGGGGGAGGAAGCATAATCGGGGGAGGAGGAGCAGTGCAGCACGGCTGTGGACAGATTCTCATACAGTAGTGGATACAAACTGGGGGACATGCTGGTGGGGGTGGTGCTGGGAGACCGGGACAGCCGGGAACTCCCATCGGTCCCATTGGTCCCATAGGTCCCATGCATCCTGGGATACCGGGAAAACCACGACATCCGGGAAGGCCGGGTGGTCCCATACAGCCAGGTGCTCCAGGGGGTCCTGGAATAGGACAGGGGACCGGACAAGGAGGTGGCGGTGGTGGTGGTGGCGGCGGTGGTGGTGGTGGGGCACAGCATGATGGTACACAGGCTGGAGCACAGGTGGCGGGACATCCCATGCCGCACGGATTTGCGTTACGCTTCTCTACATTTTCTGTGAGAAAAATAAGAAGAAGATAACTAATTAATGCGTGTAGGAATGTTCATAAGAAGGGTTTTCATTTGCGTATCTACAAGCAATTGATTTTGCATCAACTACGCTACACGATTGGTATGAAAGATTCGCCTCAGTTTTTTATCCAATCGGAAATCAAACCAAAATCAATCGTATCTCACTGGCACTCGTTTTCCCGCGCTTCGCGCCTGCTACATGTAATTACTTCGAGTTTTGATTGGTTCACTGTATTGCTTGTTTACTTTGTGATTGGTCAGAGTGATTTCTTTCGCTTTAGTTCCACGACACAATTGAAAACCGCTCTATGTGGTAATTGGGTGTCGACAAGGCAATAAAGTTATTGAAATGATTGAGTGATTGATTGATTGATTGATTGATTGATTGATTGATTGATTGATTGATTGATTGATGGGGTAATAAGAGTGTTAAAGATAGGTTTTAAAACTGGCTATCTTAAAAATGGTGGATGGTCCAAAAATGGATTTGTTTGTTAACGGTCAATTTTTTATTCAAAATTGCTTGACCTTAAAAATCTTCCGACACCTTCTATTGCTGCAACGAAGGTCATTGCCTCTGTAGCTGGGGGCCAAGGTAAAGTTTTCTGAAATTTATACGAGTGCGCCTAATCGACTGTATGACTTTGTTACAGAAATGATGGTAAAACCTAATCTAGAATATAAACTCCTTTTTTTATCGTGGATTCATTTTACCTGGCTCATCCTCCACTTCTTTGGTTATTTTAACAATCTTGCCATGATGAAGATAAGCTTCTGTTACTGTAAAGTAAGGTTTATTCAATGTTAGAATAGACATGACCCGTTCTCGTCGGTTTTTTGACCGTCCTCGATCAATGAAGGGGAATTTTGAAATCATTTTAATTCAACCGCATTGAGGGAAACAGTGGGCGAGTTTTGACGCTGGCGTCATGTCATCCGGTTCCCAAAGATATTTTCGAGTTTTTGTTGATATTCTGATCGCGAGTTCTGAACCACTTTCGACACTATAGACTATACTCCACTGCTGACAGGGGAAATGATGTGTAACAGAGCAGTTGCGTGTGAATACTTTCCGAAAAGGTTGTTTGTTTTAACCGTTGCGAACTTTTTCCATCCATGGCGCGTAAGAACAGAGGTTAACCACTCAAACAGAAATGCAAACGAACAATGACTCACACTCTCCTAGGAAAACTTAGCACCAAACTAGGACTGCTAAAGTCTGCATTTTTCGACATATTCCTTATTGTGCAGTTTATTGGCCAATTTCCTACCAGAAGAAACTTTACAATCAGTTTTCTTTCTCACTTGGCATCACAAAAGATGAACAGTTATCAAAAACTAAAGCTTATGTTTCATCGGATTATAGTTCGCTTTGTCACGTGAGCCTTCTCTCACAAATCAATTCGTTTTATAAGTAGCAGATATTTCCCCGCCCATCCACTAGAGCGTCAAATCACGGTTAATACCGTATTCATGGTACCCGCTTGTTTAAAGCAGACTCTTCTATTATCACAAACATGTCTTTTTACGAGCTTCAAACGCACTCAAAAGTCCGCTCTCTCAGTCACCATCCCTGAATACCATTGAAAATTCCCATCAGTTTGGATTGCACCTCTGATAGGCTATTAAGCTCCTGTTTTTGGGGTCAGTGGCATCTCCTCGCCCCGGCTTTGTCAGTTTGGCCTCTTCTCGCAATTCTTTATCGCCACTTTTGTTTTAAGAAAAGAAAGACTTGTCGGGTTTAAATTATAGTTTACCGTATTGAAGAAACTGAAGATGAACCACAACAAAAAATGCCATTTAAACCTAAGCAGAGCAGTAAAAGTGAGAAGCAAGAAAATGGCTTCCTTCATTCTTCTGTCGGTGTCGAAAGTGACAGTGTCATTTTGTCATAAGCAACACCTGCCTTAAAGTAAACACGACAAAATCATTGCGAATTCTTATAGTTAACTTTCCAAAGACCATATTCTAACAATTTTTTGGGCGGTGTAGCCAAAGGCTATCTTGGCAGAAGATTGTTCGAACAAAATTACTCTTTCCCGAGTCCAATCCCTTCTGGGTTGTATACAGTCAGGTGTCGAGCTCATCAACACGATACCTGTTTATTTCGATTTTATTGTTACAAAGGAGATGTAATTATCTGCAATCACCTTGAATTTCAAAGAAGTTAAACTAAAACAAAAATTAAATCACAGCACTTCCTGACAATCACTTAACAAATACGCGAAAATGTGGTACATCTATACACTTTTTAGCGACACATCTTTGGGCGAAATCATCGAAAATATCAATATTTGTTTTGTTCAATATAACGTGAAAAAAATATATGTTACAAGTCGTCTCTTCGCTCAGCTGATATATCAGATAGTTAAACTTGTCCAGTTAATTTATATAACGTTTCCCACGTCGCCTATTTGAACCATTTTAAGAGAACGCTCGATTAACGAAGGTGGAGAAACTAAAATGGTCTGAGCATGCCAATATACCCGTTAAAATCGTTGTATTGACATTTGATATCCTAAACTTTCCAGCTGAAATCACAGAAATAAAAGGGTTACATTTACTGCCAAGATAAATTAATGAACCAACCTTTCCTTGCTTCCAGCGAAGCAACAAAGAGGAGCAAGCAAGCAAGCGTTACTCTTAACATGACCCACGGCGTGCTGTGAATGAAAATAATAATAAAAAAACGCTATAATGAATCGATCCTTGAGAAACCTGTCATAGTTCAGACCAGCTCGGTTACACTTGGTTAACCAAAGAAACAGAATTGCTTACTAAGGGTTGTGACTATGAATTTTATGTTCATACTCACGATCAGTTTTGGTCTTAAATTATAACATGTAAAAAATTTCCAGCTTTCAAGGGTAATCAGTGCTAACTTTCCAATCCTTTCTTTCCTGCTGTTATTTATGATTATTAGCATTTGTTTATTTTTCCTCCCCAAATTTGTTCCAAAATGGAGTCGACTTGACATTGTTTCAAGTTCATTCCGTCAAATGATCGCATAACGTTTCAGGTTCAAAGAATTTCTCTCTTCCAATCTGCCACTTTCCCATTGTCGAGGGATGTTCACTCCCCATGAAGATCAAATGGGTCACCTGCCAAAATCAACTGTCCGAGAAAACTCCTCTTTATTCAAGTATACGAATTGGAATAACGTTAAGCACAACTGAAATTAAAGCTCCTTTGAGAGAGTTCTTCAGCAACCCCTTCAAAACAAAAAGAAAAAAAGGCGATTAGAGATTTTACCTTTTTCTGCGTTTCCTTCGCTTGGCAATATGCCGTCGTAAAGGTCAAGTCCCTGAAGAAAGTTTACTGACAGGCAGTGATCCTAGTGACATCATATATTCTTCAAGGGCGGACAGCAAACCGCATAACCTGCCCGGGGGAGTTATTTTTAACAGCATTACGTCATGTAAACCAACCCGCTGATTCTACGCTCTGATTGGCTGGTTTAAAAACCTAACACAATGAAAACTGAATTGATTCAACTAAAATCTATAGTAGAATTTTATCAATCTCAAACAATCGCTTTTTTAAGAGTTTTGGTCCCTGGCAAACGCTTAGATGAAGCGAAAATGAATTGAATTGGATTGAGGTCCCAGACGATCAATTATTAAACCCGTGGGTATCGAAGGAAACGAGAAAGGGGCGCATTTTTTCAACCAGTGCTCTTTCATATTTTGACCACAACCAGATCAAATATTTTGTCCCACATTGTCAAACAAAGCAAATTATTAAGCAGACTCCACATGTGGGAAATCTTCGTTAGGTAATCGCTGTCACTGACTGGCCATTCACGCGTTCAATGCAGTGGGCAGTAGCCATTATGTAATTCTTAGTTCAACATTATGAATTATTCATGTATCGACAAAAATAGGAACAAAAGCAGACAGTAAAAGACCAAAATTCTACAACGCTTTTCCTTGAGTGCATACAGGACAAGTCAAGCTAGCAGGTGAGGCTTATGAGCAAAACTGATTTTTGATTTTATTTCTTGCCGGTCCGAAATCGTACGACGGAAAAACTTAATCGATAAACAACCCGTTATTTTGCTTTCTAAATGTGTTGTGTTTCTCTCTCAAATATAAACAAAAGCAAGGTTTTAAAAGTCTTGTTTTGGGCTCGGTGATAATATAGCCATTTGTTTTAGTTACACTAATAATAATATAATTGCCATATTATGATGAAAAGTGTGGAAGCTAAACATAACAGTTTTACGGCTTACACTAGCGTTTATGGCAAATGTTGAGAAAATCGTTTCGCTGATATTCTGCTAAGCCCTACTTTCGTTTTATCCAAACTACTCAACTACGAATTTGAACTGCTGTTTTTGTTGTGTTGTTTAAATTTTGTTCTGTTTAACCGGAGTTGCATGTGGAAACTGCTACTCCGTTCTTGAATCAAGTTGAGGAAAGCAACATTACCTTCAACTTGGAACATTCGATGTTTCACTGTAATATATTTCTTTCCGATGACAATTCGCCTAACTCCTTTAGACTAAATAAGAGAATCGCTGATTTTATTAACTTAAAGCTAAGAAAGACTTTGTTATCATGTTATCATAATCGCAATTGAAGCTACTTTTTAAGATCACGTCCCACGTGGTTTTATTCAATGCCCAGCCTCTTCGTGTTTACTGCAAACCATTTTGTAACAATGTACTGTGGTGGTTATGTGATAAGCAAAATCCGGCCTTCAAATCAGAGAAACCTCAACATTGAAATATAAAATCACAAAAGGAGTAATGAGAAACCAAAAAGAAACAGTGATGTTTAAGATTGAAGCAGGAAAAGATGGGCAAAGGCGAACTTGAAAGTTTTAGGCTAAATCTTTTCAAAATGCGACAGGCTTGGCGTTGCTTCTCTAAAAATGCAATAGTAGAAAGCGGTAGTGGTTCTGTTATAAAGATATATGCCAAGAAATCTAACTAAACAAACAGATTAAAATCTACAGTCTCCGAGCTCAAAACATCAATTCTCCTTACCCGTTGCTTAGCCTTCCTTTTAATGTAAGTTTCAAGAAATTGGTTGTACATCAAAACACTGATTACCTTATTTTCGCTTCAGTTTGATGGCTGCTTGAAAAATGAAGGCTTAAAAAATCTTCAAAAAACTGACATAAAGCTTATTTTTCTAAGACAAAGGAGGAGTTCGTGGATTTTCATCAACAGATTTTCTAATTACCTGGTTTAACTAAGGTGGCAGTTGACTGGTATCTATATTGTTAGACTGACACGACTTGAACAGAAAACCTGTTGTCCAACAAAACCAACCACTAGACGCCAACAATACTGGATATTACTTTGTGAAAAATGCCCCCAAAATACTTATATATTTTCCTTTTTTTAACTAGTGTATCTTTGACAATGGCCTGTGATGGCATCTCGTTTTTTCGGCTCTTGTTTCCCGCGCCGAGAAAAACCCGTCGTTATTTTCGGCGGAGACAAGCGACAGCCGGACAAACGTGTGCGTTAACAGGTTACTTTGACCAATTCTACGACTGAATTTAGATAAAACAAACAAATCTGGTAGATCCCGTAATTTAATGTTCGAAGACATTGAACTATAAACCCTGTCATGAATACAACCATCAGAGTCGCTAGGCGTTCCAGTGCGCCAAAACGGAATCTAGCCTTGAATATGCAATCACGGCGCCATAGAATCCTGGGGTATTCAAGGTGCACAAAATGTAACACACTCCTGGAATGTTACACGCAGTTAAGTTGAGTTCAGAAAAACAGGCCGGGCTCAAACCAGATACTCAAGCTGCTGTCTTGTCCCCAGTTGTCTCCATACACCTTCTGCCGACTGGGACGAGTCAGTTCCAGCTGTATTACGAGTCGAACATCCCTGAATGAAGTACACTGATACGTATTGGGCCGAATTAGGGCCCGGATATTTGGCTCATTGCGCCGTGTTCTCAGTTTCCCTAACGGGCAAGCGTGGAGAACACTTCAAAGCATGGGTCGACCTCGTCCCAGAGTCTCTCTTCTTCTCTGGGTGGGAAGAAGAGAGACCCTGGGAACGAGGCTGGGCAAGGGTCGGTTGTGTACCTCATTCCATGGCATTATGAAATTTTGCCTCAAATAAGATGTTTTGAAAGGGTCGTCGGCTCATAAAACCCAAAACAACGAAGTTTCAGTTTCCCTTCTGCTGGGATGATAAAAGAGTTAATTGATTCGATAGCCAGTCAGTTCGGGAGAAAGAGCAGTCGTTGTTGCGCCATGGGACCCACATCACATTTTATGATGTAATTACTTATCTTTTTTTTTTCAGATATGGACCTAAGAATTTTACTCGTATCTTGCCTTGTGGCATTAGTATGCGGAAAATCAATAGGTAAGGAATCGTTTTAAACTGTCTTCTAACGTTATCATTTCTTGTTCTATACTCGATCAAAAGAAGATGCGTTTTGCTTTGAGGTCAAAAGAGAAGCGAAAACAAGTATCACAAGCTGAATTGGTTCAACCATTCAGAATAAGATAATCAGATAATGGACTTCTACGATTCTACAAAAAACTCACTTTAGATAGCTAGGGGCCTCATCTTACGCCGCCGCAATGTGACTTAGCCTGTCGATCGCCCCACTCTCCGAATTTTTTTCCGTTCTCGCCTGGAGCCTGTTTGCAGGTTATAGGTGATTTGAACTTACGGGTCGAGCTTAGATTATTTGTATGATCCATTTGTTGATACTCCGCATTTAATGGCTACCTAATTTCAGCAATGACATAATGACATAATTGTCGCTGTAATTTCCATTAATACCTCGTTTAGACGTAACATTCGAATACTATAAACTTATAACGTCGAGCCCTGATTTCCGGATACTACTTCAATGAAGCTATCTCACGATATAATGGCAGGATAGAAAAGTGCTAAAAATGGTAACAATAAATCAAAAAAGGAACATTTGTGGTTAAGATTTAGGCAAAAGAGACCGAATAACGATGACAAACTTGAAAACTTGACGCGACATTTTTCAGGATGTGCCTACCGGTGACCAAGTCTTGTACAGACGTCGTGTTATTGACTACAGACGGTGATTCTGATCCCTTGCCCATAACTTTCTTTTAAATGAGACGTTTCACATTGACCCCACGCTGGTTTGATTGCATATCAATCGTTATGTGCCATGCGTAACTTTGTTTCGTCTCTTTGCCTTTCAGAGGATAAAGAAAAACGAGAAGCTTATCCTTGTGGATATGGATGCCCGTCAATGTGCGCTCCAACTTGCGAACCAACGTGTTGTGCACCCCCTCCACCCCCTCCGCCACCGCCACCACCGCCATGCCCAGTCCCTGTGCCAATGCCAGTACCATGCCCACAGCCAGGACCTCCCGGACAGCCAGGATGCATGGGACCTCCTGGCCTTCCCGGATGCCGTGGATTTCCCGGTACCCCCGGATGCATGGGACCAATGGGACCAATGGGCCCTCCCGGACCACCCGGATGCCCCGGTCTCCCTGCTCCACCTCCACCTCCTTGTCCACCCATCTGTGTTCATCACTGTATGAAGATCTGTCCTCAACCATGCTGCGCTCCTCCTCCCCCTGTGTATATCCCTCCACCACCACCACCACTCCCTCCCATGCCAGTTTGTGCCCCATCGTGCGCGCCTGCCTGCTGTAAATAAGAATTAAAAATATGCACGAAAAAATGATTTATGGACTTGTCCTGTGGGCAGAACATCGTTATTTTGGATTTGATTAGGTAAAAAGACTGCTTATTTTCGTATTTCAGTCTTTCTATTGACTTCAAGGCAGAGCGAGACTCGAAAACTACTAGATTATTGTTTCTTGTACGAAAACGACATACCATGTTAGTTTCCAGTAAAAGTACCGTGTTATTGTACTTGTGGTTGTTGTAAGTACTGTCTCTTTCTTTGTCATTAACAAGCGGTTAAACTTACCGAAATACGTTGACCATGCTGGTTACGTAACTCTTTTTCACAATTTCACCAAATTAGACAAAAATTAAGGTACCATTTCACCTTAACTCAACCTGTCAATAGCTTTGAATTTGTGAATATGTTTTAGACACTTTTTTTCAAACGTTTTGGTTTGGAAAATTGTTCCATATTGACGATTTCCTTTTTGGGAGGTGTTTTTCTTTGTTTTTGTTACTCGTCGTCAGCACCAAAATGCGATAACAAAGCACAAGAACGCAAATCAATCAATCAATCAATCAATCAATCCTTTATTTGGTAACACAGACTGCGAGCTGCTCATTCTCAGTTCTTGAGACCCGCGCGAGAATAACGATAAACTCTTAGTCACTTACAGGGACTATAGGAACGAAGTTTCGAGAAGTGGTGGCTTGTGGTTGCCGCTTGCCGATCGATTTAGCGACCTTTGATAAAAGTTACAGTGGAATCCCGATCTCTCGAACCCTCAATTTTTCTAACCTCCCGATAACTCGAACCAAAAGTCATTTCCACTCCTCAGTCGAACACTGCAGTTTTATCCCCGGTTTCATGAACTCTCCGCGGATTTTTCGAACCAATTTTCGTTTCCCTTGGTGGTTCGAAAAAATTGGGATTCCTCACTTTTGCCTCGCATGACGATAATAAAAGACTAAGAATCTCTTGTTATCTGGCAACCATTCTACTGAAGTGCTGTCATTGAGAAGGTCAGCCAAACTTCATTGGTCTATAGCTGTATGAAAGCAATTCGTTAAAAAATTGTTTTCTAAGGATAAAAAAATGTGCTGCTTTAGCCCAGTTGACCGTATCAATCATAAATGCAATGAACCCACCGGGTATCTTTTGGATTACATGTGGACAGTGAATGTAAGATTTTCTCGATTATCAAGATCTATTCAGTGTGTCTCAGTATCGTTGATAGGACTAATGGCAAACTGAATATGAGACGACAAGGTTCAGTTTAAAAAAAAAAACAAGAAAAGTCTAGCTTGTTCTCAAAAGTAATCATAATTTGGTCATTTTAGACTAGTTCCTGTTGTTGCTTTGCAGAAGACAGCATCTCGATGTACCAAGATGAATAACGCGCGTGTAGAGCCCTTTCATCCCTCATACCTATTTTCGTATGACCATGTCATTTATTCAGCCGTGGATTAATTACTTTATCGAATCAGGCTGCCTTTTAAGTTAATCATTTTGCATGCTGCCGAAAGTTTCTTTCTCACACTAGGATCGTGAGTTGTCAAAATCGAAATACTAACTAGAATAGAGGCAATCGAATTTATGGCAAGAAGACGCAAGTTGGCAACTTACAATTGGGTCTACCTGCGACTCCGTTTGGCCAGGCCTTGCGTGCACTTGAGTCGGTTTGCGATGACTTGCGCTCACTTTGGTCGAGATCAAATTTGCACGCAATTCGACGCAAGACTTTCTCTGTTTGGCCACCCAACCCAAGTCAACTCAAGCTGAGTGACGTCCATTTGTCGTCATAGTTGTCATAGCAACCTATTAGCCAATGAAATACAGGATATTGGTCGTACGGGACTAAGCCCGTAGCCTTGAAATGGGTGTTTTGCGACTTGCGGCTTCTTACGAATACTCGCGAGTCCGTTTGGCCAGGGCTGAAAGCTTTAAAAATTTTGACTTCTTCGAATGAAATCCATGTCAAACTTCATCTTCGAAACTGTATAAAAAAGGAAATTAACCGTCCTGATCTGCCTGAACAAACGAAAAAACAATCAAGGGAGGTAGGTGGACGGCGATTGGTCGTCACTGCTCAGGCGAGGCGTACAAATTTAACAAAGTGGGACTTGAGCGAGGAAGCCTAGGGTTTTGGGCTGCAGTATATGAAAGACATGGAAAGGTAAAGATTAAGTTCATTTCATGAATAACGTTCACAGCAAACTGAGCATTGTTATTGTCATACCAATCAGCTTGTTGCTCTGATATTTTGTTGTCTTATAAAAAGGCCTTTGATGAAATCTTAGAACTGAACAACGGGTGCAGTCCAATTGCCTTTTTAATGGGGGGGAGAGAGGAATTCAATGCCTCGTGACTAAGCACAATTCAATATTCTTTCCAAAAAAGATTTTATTCAAGAACAAAATCCTAACATGTTTAGGTCAACTGTCACAAACAGCGAATATTTCCTTAGTGGGTTATTGCGCTCTTTTTGTCTTCTTTATCGTTGCCTTCCTTTTTAGCTTCTTCTTTGGCATTATTTTCTGTCGTATCCTCTGGGGCATGACTCTCACAGCCTGGATAACCGCAGTTGTACCCATACGGGTAGTTGTATCCATACGGGTAGTGGTACGGGTACGGGTAACCGTAGGGGTAGGTGTGCGTGGTGGGGTGTTGTACAGTCACTGCAGGATGTACAGTCACTGCCGGGAGCGGAGCTGCGGGGTGGACTGCCGGATGTACTGCTGGGTGTGCGTACGGGTATGGGTAGTGGTATGGGTAGCCGGGGTGTTGATAGGGGTACTGTCCGTAGTGCCAGGGATATCCGGGATGTTCATACCCAGGGTAGTAGACAGCACTGGCTTGTCCTAAAAACGAAAATGAACGATTGTTAATAAAACCTTACCTCACACGATCTTGAGCAGTGTTCTACGAACGCTAGATATATGATGAAATATTTTAAACCCTCTGCCATTGTCCTGTGACGGTTGTTTAACTAAATGAGAGTGTCAAACACGACCGCAAAATATGGAGAAAGAGGCGGGTACCTGCCTTACGAAATATTTCTCACCCTGCAGTTTTTTTGGGATCTTAATTGCTCTGAAGAAAAAAAATGAGGACCATTCAGCCAATTGCACTACATTTGCTATCAGCTTTTCGGCATTTCTTTAGGCTGGTTATATGCAACACAATCAAAAATTCTACGAACTTTTTTAAAAGCACTTCTACTGTTTCAAACAAGTTCGTTTCACCGACGTATAACCAAACCAAACAGAATATAGCGTGCCAATCATAACAAACAAACGGCAAACAAACGAATGAACCAATCATGCCCAGGAGTCAAGCGCGTGAAAGCACGGAAACAGTGTTGTGCGCGGAAAAACATGCAACCGGTCAAAGGCGCGGGAAAATGATTTTATCTCATTTACTTCTGATTGGTTGAATAGGGCACTTTGAAATTGTTTTTAACCAATTAAACGGTTCAGCAAACAAAAGAGAGACCGACGTTTAAGTGTATGTTGGTTTGACATATAATCATATTTTAGACTGACATCATCTTCTAAATTGACATCATATTCTAGATTGCAGGAGAATTACGTATACCTTTCTTGTCTTTATCCTGTTTCACTTCATCTGATTGGCCCTGAAAACTGACTTGTTGCGCAGACTCGGCGGGATTCGCTTGGTTTGTGTTGACCTCCAAAGAACTGAGAGCCCTGGACTCTACTGCGACGAAACACACTACCACCACCAGGCAACCAATTACAACTGATATCCTCATGTCTGAAATAAAAATACACCATCTTTATCGATATTGTGCGTCAAGGTTATTCATTAAATTAATAGATAAGATTTCGAAACCTACTTAGATGATGCAATACGATGAGACAATGCGACTTTTACAAAATTGCTACGTCGGAGCACGCAGTCGTGGCGACACTTTCCAAGAAATAGAAAAAGAGATTGTTACCTTTCTCTCGCAGGTTAACGGTATCGATTTTACGGAATTATAACTGAACTTTTATTTAAAATCAGTGAAAGTAAACGTAGTTAGTTCATTCAATTATTCAGTCAGGCTTTGTAATATTAAACTAGAAAAACAGAGAAGTCGCTTTTATCAGAAGTGGTGACGATGAAAGTTTTTTCTAAGATATTTTAGAATAGAAATATTTTGAACAGAATTTAATTTATCAAGGAAAATGTGTTTTCATGGAAACTTCACTTTTATTTTTCAAATTACTCAGACGTTTTTTTTAAAAAATATTTTAAAATATCACAGAGAAATGGCAGTTTCTTTAAATGCAGTTATTATTATAACTTCTGTAGTACTTACAAAGCTCACGAAAATTGTTTAATTAAACTTTGTATAGCGATAAACAATAGGCGTTTGAGTACGATACAAACCGTTTTTACTAAATATAATCTACACTTCTATTGTCAGGATGATCAAAACAAGAAGTTGTACCTACCAATTTCCTTTTGTCTCCTTCTGCCTTCACTGCGAATTCCTACAAAATCTGATGGCTGTCTTTGATTGATAGGAATATAAGAAATATTCACACATCCCTTCCGAAGTAGGGGGCCATCTGATTGGCGAATTACCAAGTATTATGTCAACAGAAAATTAGCAACGCGTGATAACACAAGCGATCATTGACGCCCGCCGTCTATGAGAACACAATTTGTTTGGTGTCCAACACTTGAAAACGATAAACAAAATAATTGTCAACCAACACATTTTAACATCAAACAACATTGTTAGATAATTCACTGATTCATTATCTCTATCAACTTCATTATTTTGGGTTAAATACTTGTTGTGAATGCAAAACTTAAAAACGTGCAAATGGCGTTTTAAGAACAATTTTACATTCCTATTAACTAGAATCTAAGAGGGTTTTTTTATTATTATTATTTCATAAACTTAAGGTCTTGATCATGAAAATTGACTTAAAATCGTAAGGGCGGCTAACAAAAAAATTCCGGCTTGGAATATATCATAATTTTTGTAATAATTGAGAATTTCTGTAGTAGTTCTTCCCATAGGGTGATATATTTTCAGACGATAGCATGAATTATGATACAATTGACGAGATTCCTAATTTTGATAAAACGGGTATTTTACACTCCTAAGGTTGAGGTGGAAGATAAGGATCCCAATTTCCAAATTCAAAAGATGATCTTTATCTTCGGAAAAATTCTACTAGTATAAAAATCATTCAAATAATACCTAGCATTTCGTATAACCGAAATGCTGAATGAAAACAGAAGAAACGCCTAAACGCTTAACAGAGGAAATAAGATAACTAAAGAAGTCGGACGGAAACAGAAATGAAAGTTTTTCTGAGTACATTACCTGCAAAAAATTTCGGACGTTTGATTTTTGGAAACTTTTTATCTCAATTCGGACAAATGTCGGACAAAAATTTCGGACACTTTGCTGAAACATAACTAACTTAAATTTACGTATACAAAACACGTTTTAGACTGGAACAACATCTGTGAAAATGATAGTTTTACTGCACCGTCAAGGTTTTACAGACTGATACATCGACGTATGGGAAAATAAGAAACATTCTATCAAGCCGTTACATATCACAAGCAGCGGTCTTAACTAGAGTTCGCTCCATACAGGAAACTAGCGGCTTTGGAGGTATGTGAAAGTTTTATACTGCACTGTAAATATTTCCGACGCTTAAAATTTCGGACTCTTAAAATTTTCGGACGGTTTTATTTTCGGACACATTTTTGTCCGAAATTAAGAAAGTCCGAAATTTTTTTGTTAGTAATGTATTTTGCTCAGTATCACTTTGATAAAACATTGTGAGTGGGACAAATCTCACTCTGACGAATTTTAAACTCAAAACCTCAGATTTCCAATTTAGCCACGGAGGTTTAAATGCGCTGATAACTTATCAAGCGTTTTGCCTCCTAGCCACGGGATAAAACAATTCAGATCAGACCTTTAAAAAGTAGTCGTGTTTAACTTTCGACTTAATTTCCAACTACTGGCAAAATTAAATGATTTTACATTTTGGGATTTATATATGTTGTCTATTCAAAGAAAAATAAAAGGAAACTGGAAGCTTAAGTTTTTCTTTTATAGTAAAGCTTAATTACACAATTTAAAACTTAGAAATCTAACAAAGCGTGGTTGGAAATTACTGTCAATTTGCAGATCGAAACCTTGTTGGCTTATGGAGTTGAAAGTTTTCGTAATAAAACTAGGGTACGAGTGAGAGCTGGTGTAGTTTAGGCTTCAAGTTTTGTGTGAAGGATTTCTTAAAACAGTGTTTAAATCGTGTGTTCAGCTTATGATAAGTAACGCCCTTACCACTTCTCTTATTTTAACCTGCGGTGTTTGTCCCCCGCACAAGGGACCCCCTACGTCACGAAATCAATATATATTTTGAGGGAATGCTCCAAGGTTTTGGACTCAATAACATCGACTGCACTAGAGCAACAATTTTTATTAGATACAATACACGTAAAGCAGATAAAAAGAACAACAACAGGTATAACTTTCAACAGGTATATACATTCAACCTTTAAAATCGGAGCAACATTACGTGCGCACCATACCTGAAGTAATACATTTGCCTGGAAGTCATCAACTACTAAAATAATATCTAATCTAAACAAACTATGTACAATACATGACGTTAACAAGAATTCACCCACAAGGAGCCAAAAGAAAAGAGATAATTTAACACCTTTTTCTCCTCTGCGTTGCCATTTCTTATTCGCCATATTATTTCATTTATTTAATCACATGGCTATTAAAAAGATAGAATGATCTTCTCGTGCAGCGATATAAACAATAGCCATTTGGCGCGAAAATATGCTTCGATATTTGTCCGCGGACATTATCTGTTCCGAGAAGCGAACATTTCTCCGAGATCGTAGCTCGAGAAAAACTGTGAGCTGTGAGGAACAGGTTATGTCCAACGACGAATATCCGAGCAGTTCGCCCCCATGAAGGGCCTTGTGCTTATTATCTTTCGAATATTTTCGAATGTCACTCGGATATTCCCCAGTTTTAGCTTGGGAATATTCAGTCACGTGACATGTTTAGACCAATCGCGTGCGAACGAAAATATTTAATGGCTAAATGAAAGTTAAACTGAAAACACCCGCTTTCGAGGGACGAAAAGAACGAAAAGGAATCGATTTTCTAGCGGACCATGTTGTAATTTATCGTCGGGGCTTCTTGATTTAAAATATGAAAATTATTTCTTTTGTACAGTCATTAAATTAAGATTGATATGTAGCATTTTACATGCACATCGTGTAAACGAATTAAGGGAGGTAATAACTGCTTGTGGCAGGAGGATATAAGCAAGCCATATCTTCTTGACCCTGTGGAGGATTGAAGCACTGAGGATAGAAGAAGCCGGTAGGGACCCCAACGTAGGCATTTTGAGGTCCTATATTTTCGATGTATTGCACTGGAGCTGGAATAAGACGCCTCGTTTTATTGTTTGTCGGGCCTTTCTTAAGCCTCAAACGGTACCTCTTATTCTTGAACCAGTTCTGTGAAGATGAAAAAGCACAGCTTCAGTTAAAAGGCGTGTGTTAAAGCGGAATCCAAGAGACTGCTTGCATAGATCCGCCTTGTGGGATTGGAACAGACATGTAGGTTATTGACCAAGCGTGAGGTCAAGACGGCTGGATATCGGCCAAGCTCTTTTTCCGTCTCGGTCCATAAACACGCAAAAAAAAAAGAACGAGGCCGATATCCAGCCATCGTGACCGAACAGGCTTGGTCAATAAAGGTTATTTATATGGAAAAGGATCACTACTTTTCTTGCGGGACAAAGCGGGTAATCCCGAGCTGGCAGGATTGCGCCTCTTGGGTAGCCAATCACATTGCAGGATTCGGTAAATCTTGCCCGCTCAGGGAGCTAACCATATAAGACATAACCATACCCATAATGCATAAGTAAGAAATTACAAACCTGTAAGACCTGTTTTGTTATTTCCAGTCCATTGGCCACCTCTGTCTGCTGGGTGGAGGTTAAGTACGGAGACGAAGCAAAAACGCGCTCCAGGACCTGCTTCTGATAATCAGTTAACCTTGTGCGCGTGCGCATCTTTGAGGAAGAAACATCGGTCTGTTCTTGGACCTCATCTATAATATAAGACAAAAAAATTATTTTGCTGACATTGCATCTCTCTGCAGAGACTTGGGCCGGTTTGGTTTTCAACCATAGCTGAAAATTGTTCAAAAAGAAAATAACGCAGTTCCAACTGATGGCCGAAATCTCACTGGAATCTACATAATTTACGGATAGCCGAGAAATTAGCTCAAACATCAAGTGCAGCTAAGAAATCCCGAAAATTTTTATTGTAGCTGAGATTCCAGCAGCCTCATCTAGAGCCTCTATTGTAGTTTTCACAGCACATCGAAATAAATCAACTAAAAAAACTGAATGACTTTCTCGACAACACAGCCATGAAGTAATTTCAGAGAAATCAAAGTTGTGTCCAAGCATCTTGGATAATGAATATCGAGTTGCATACAAATGTAGGCTAACAACGGTTTGCTTAAGTGCTTAAAATCCAGCTAAAACTGAAACCAGTTAAATCGTGTTTCGGTTCCGAAGGTCTTGTTTGCTTACTAAAATGTAGGAGAGTAATTTTGCGGTCGAAAAAAAGTTCAGTGAATTGTCCAAAAAAATGCGAGGTTATTAACAAGGTGAACCTTTTGATGACCTTAAATTACCAGGATCGATAAAAGAAAAACAGTCCATGATGCGAGGTGACATTACAGCCAATCTCGGACTCAACTGAGTCAAATTTTCTTATAATATTTAACGCTGCCAAAACAACTGAAATGACCCTAGATGATACAACTGTACTTGTTTTAGTGAACAAGTCGCTTTGAATTGGAGTTGCATAGTATAGGTCAGAAACAAAACAATCGCTTGCTTTGGATGAAGATTATACAGAATAAGGAGTTACGATTTAGCTGACATTACGTAGGTCTAACCTGATGGTCTGTCATGATTCGGTAGGCCGGCGTTGATTGAAATGGGTTCTGCCATCATCCGGAAATTTAAATTGCTCCTTTAGAAGTGATCGTTCTGCTGCTCAGTTGCAATTTGAAGTGAAATGTCTGGAAAACAGAGTGGTTATGATACGGAAACATTTGCAGTGTGACGTGTTTCTGCTGTTGTGTAAGGGATTCACAACGCAAATGCCGAGGGCAAGTATGTCATGCAAAACAGCGGTCTTTATCTACTGTACCGAGAAATAAACTTATTGCGTCATGGAGGCGATACCAGCATTCCCTGTGACATCATGTACTGGTCACACTTCCAGCAACAACGCGTCAGTAAAATCCATACAGAATTACGCATAAGAAGAAATCTGCTAATCCATGAACAACCACGTTTTCTTTGGCCAGTTGACTTTGATATCAGTGTCACAAACTTCGACGTGCTTTTTTATTTGGGAAATAATTCGAACGTTTGCTGGATTTTATGCAATCATACTTCAATGCCAAAGTGAATTCTTGTTTGATTAGAAAATTAAACAACGCACGTCATATTGCAAATAAACAGGTTGCTGATTAGGATTAATTAGTAGGTAATGTTGTGTTTTCTGGAGCATTACGTCATAGCGAAATTTGCCAATTATTGTTTAGACTCTGTTTCTGAGTTTGCGCGAGTTTGCGCTTAGCAAAAAAATCCATAAACTGAAGAATGGCTATTCACTGTTAGCTACCAACTTAATTTAGGTTGGTCATGGAGGTTAACAATTTAAATATTTCAAATGAAAAAAAGAAAAAAAACAAATAAATTCCTTCAGTGATAGTCAATGTACCAGCTGATTAATTGCGAGTTGTTAATTAGGTCTAATGACTTCTAATTAGCTCTCCTTGCCTGAATGGAACGTCAAAGCGAAATAATCCAATCATTTTCTCCAAGTCAAATTATCGTTACGTAGGGAATTTAACGAAAATACACAGCAAACATTCATCTCAAGAATGGCTATTCAGGAAGGAGAACTATATTTTTGAAAGGAACTTAAAAATAATCAGCGTGAACCAGGGGAAGCTGGCAGCAACCTTTGATCTCGCCGCTTTTCTGGTTTCTATGATCGCCCCAGTAAAGAAATCTGTCAATCATTTGAGAACCGAAGCGAGCATGCGCAAAAAGCGAACATAACGCGAGGACACTCTAACGCGAGGGAAGCGCAGCATGTTTCCGCTATTTCTGTTCAAGATTTGTCTTCGATTCGATAATTTTTTGTTCGCTCTTAGTCCTTTTTAGCAACAGCTGTGAGACAATCCGGACTCAGGGAATGAACGGCCAACTTTGTGTCAGATTAGCGACAAGTTTCAGGCTGATATTCACATTCTTGGTTGTTGTATTAGGAAGATAAGCTTAACTGTTGTAGGCTGCTTTTATTTTGCTGTGGAAATTTTAAAGTTCACAACCTTCCATCATCACACCGACGAAAGAGAAGATTTCCTTAACAATTATTCTTCTCTAATTTCTGTGGAAAATAGCAATGTCGAACTGTTTCATGCCTGCCAGGCTGCCTGCCATCATATATCGCGAAGCCTCCGAATGTAAGTCTTTGAAATATTTCCCAACTGTTCAGTTGTAGATTGTAAACTCGAGCTTACATTAAATAAACTTTTCTAACTACAATTTTGTCCGTCTTAATTTACTTATGAAACACCGCATTTACTTTATGATTTCCCAGCAATATGTTGAGTCTGAAGACTTTCTACGAGTGATTTAAATCATGAAACTTGAAGACAGTCTCAGGTCCCTCAACAAGATTTGCATGTTTCAATAATGTAGTGATAGTAAAGGTTTTGGAAACCTCCGTTTCTTACTGTTCAGTACCAGTTTGAAATCTAAAATTTGAAAGCATTTTCCTGCTTGAGCTTCTGTATGGGTATGCCCAAAATGGAATTGCTGGGCACAGACTTAATGTGAACTTTACTAGGTTGAGATATTCATTTACAAGCTATTTACAATTTCCTAACCCGTGGAAATAAAGAAAGCAGCCGCTGCTCGCATGCTATGGCATAATTTGTCCTGGTGATAAGCATCAGTTTTATTTGTGTGGTGGACGAAAACTCATACTTCTGGATATTATACTTCTAGATATCAATATAGGGCTGCCGTACGCTCCTCTGCAAAGGGAGATATGAAATAGACCCAGGGAAGGCAAATGAGCCATGTAACCTGTATATGTGAGCTAGTTAGCAATGAGGTAGACAGGCAAAATGGTCATTTATACAGAAAACTGACTTAGCTTGGACGAAGCTAAGTCATCAGAACCTCCACAATGTTGAAATAGGCCAATTTTGATACTTGGCTCCAAGGCTTTGGAGAATAACAAGAAGTTGTATCAAGTGCAAGGAATATTTTCTTTATTCCTTTAAGGCAAAGAGATGAGTAAGCACATCAAATTTGGCCTAAAGTGTTGCCTATCAGTAGCTAGTTCCTTAGATGAAAGGACAGTTAAATAAAACAAAAAAGTCACTTGCTCGACTACCTTAAGACTTAGACATTCTTTTAGAATTCATTTGCGAGGGGTGGATTGGCTAGCCACCCACCTTTTAAAGAAGTAAATAAAAAAAAAAATAGTATCGGACCTAAAACGAAGGCGTATCTCGGTTTTCTTAGGTACTGTTAAAGACTATTTTTCATATGTGCTACAGCTTTACTGATTCGCTGATTCGCTATCAACAATGTTAATACAAACCTGAATATTTACCCAGTTGCTTTAAGTATTACTTGCCATTGCTGAGTTAACGTTGTAATAAATCGGGTTTTGTTTTATAGTTTTGTTAAGTGTTTTATCCTTATATGGCCTATGTGGCTGGTGAGACATCAAATATATCTACCCTGGGTCAAAAATATATACGGGGACTTCAACTTTAGCCAATGCACAGTAATCTTGTTTAAACTAGTTCAGCTTCCCCCATCCCTCCTGCAAGCCAGCAGTTCTGTCCCGGGGTCCCCCCTGGTACTGACCAAGATGGCTTGAATTGAGGGCCTTTGATAACGGACCACAGAGCGCACGATTTCTCAAATCAGG